GGCAACAAAAGAATAAAACTTTATCTTTATCTAGGCTATTTATAATATTTTACTATTCAATTTTCTTTTAGAATAATCTTAAATATAATTCTCTATATTTAGATATATGAAAAATTAAGATTACTTTAATATAATAATACTTAATCACAATAAATTATTAGTTACATTTAATATAAAATAATGTCATAATTTTATTTAATTACCTTATTCATAATATTCATGTATCTATGATCATTCTTAGATTATTTATTTTTTCTTTATAAATCTAAGTCTCTTTATAAAGAACAACTAATTTTTTTTATTCCTCGTTTGAATTTTAGATAAATTGTTCGACATATTTCTTTTACGTTTAATTTCACTATCTTCTTCATCAGGATCTTTTTTATAACAACCCGAAGAATGAGACAATAATTAATTTAATATGTAATAAATCACTCATTGCTATATTTAGCTTCTCTTTATTATTTTTCTTATATATTATTATAAATTATTTTACATCCATTTCCCTTTAAATATTATCTTAAAAATAATAACTTCTTCAGTTAACTCAACTTGCATTCATCAATTTGATTTTTAGATTTTATTTTGAAACTTCAAAAATTTTATCTAAGTATTCAAAATTTCATCAATGATAATACTCTGAAATAATAAGTATTTTTTATTGTTCAATAAAAAAATAAGAATCAGATTCCAGATAAGGGGTTTTACGATAGATTTCTTATAACAATAAATTTAATATTGGTTAAAAATTCTATTTAATTTATTTTCTTAAAGTTAAGACAATCTATATTAAATTTATAAAATAAACTATTTTTATAATAAGAAATAATTTAACTATCAATTAATTGTTAGTAAGATTATTAATTACTAATAATTAACTATTAAATCATTTAAAATTACTAATAAATAATTAACTTCCTTATTTTTCTGCATTAGATATTCTTTATAAAATTGATTAAATATAATCGCTATATTTTTAATTATCTTTTTCATCCTTAAAAAATAAAATTAATTATGTGCATCTCATAAATTCATTTCTTTGTGTTCTCAAAAAATATTTTATTTACTTAATTTAAAGCCTATAAATTTTTAAGATATTTTTTAGAAAACTAAACTTTAATTTTTAATTTTTATATACTCTAAATTAATTAATTTGAATAAAGGGTTCAAAAATTAGTTAAATATCAATTTCAAGATGAATAAGGGTTTAATAAAATTAATAACAAGTTAATAAAGAATAATATGCTTCTGAAGCTATAATAGGTAATAAAATTTAATTCCACTTTTTGAAAAAAATTATTTGAAGAGATTTTTATTTATAATTTAATTTAACAAATGATATTTTTTGTAAGATATTCTATAGTTTAGGAAAAATAATAAATAGAAATTTTTGATATTGTACAAGAATATAAAAATCCTTGATCTTAGCTATATTTTTTCATTAAGATTGTATTAGTTTTCCTAATTGTCTAATTAGTATAGTTCTGGGTTTTATTAATTTTTTGCAATTTTTATTTAATAGTCTATTAATGTTTCTAAATGAGTCAGTTAATAGAGATTAAATTCATTAAATAAAGAGTATTAGTTTAACTTGAAATTGCTATCAAGACTGATTTGTGTTTGTTTAGTAAATGAACATAAATATCCAAGACATGGAAGAAGATTTTTTACTAAAGATGGTAAAGTATTTTTCTGTTTGAATTTAAAGAGAAGAGCAAATTGTGCCAGAAAAGCATAATATGAAATTAATAATTAAATATTAAAAGTCATGAGATTCAATAGATAGTTGTTTGCAAGAAATTAAATTTGATGAAGGTTCATGATACTACAATTAAAATATATTACAAATGTCTAAGAATTTTTCATTTTATTTTTATCTAGTTAATGTTAGATATTCTACCTATTTTCTATTTTCACTAACATTTCAATCTAAATTTCTAATCTTTTATATATTCACATGAATCTAAATAACCTGTATTTTTAGTAATAAATGTAGCTATCTCATCTATTCCTAAATCTAATTTCTCATTTTTGCTAATATGAAAATTAATAATTTTATCACTAGTAAATACATGATTTTAACTAACACTGTCTAAAAAATATACCACTGAATTAAAAAAATCTGCTAGCTATTTGAATTACCAGAAAAGCTAATTAACTTAGATTTAGTGCAAACTTACTCGAAATCTCTTTCTTCATTTTAGAGTAAAAATTCAATTTCATATATCCCTTTTGAATCATTATTTTGGAATATAAAAGAATAGTTCTTTATATTACATAATTATTAATAATTAAATTCTTAGGACTATTAAATTATAATTTTAATTTTTCATATGAGCTGAACTAAATTCATCTCCCTAAATTAAGTTAATTTCTTTTGCAACCTGTTCAGTTTTTGAAAAAAACAAGAAAATTATTTCCCTTCAAGTAAAACTTGCTTGCAACTTATTTGATTGCTTTTCGTGAAATTTCGAAAGCAAGGAAATTCACATTTAAATCTTTTCAAATTTTTTCAGCATTAGAAAGTCATCTATCTAAGAATTCTTAATATCCTATTTTAGCCAATCTAATTTTTACAATTGCTGACTTTATTATATTTATTTCTCATAATAATATATAGAACTTTTAGATATTCCAAAAATTATAGATTTGTAATCTTTTTTCATGCCAATTTTGGTGAATCTTACCAAATAAGCATTTTTCTTTATAACATCGTATTTATTTAAACACATTGCTTTTTTTTTATTTTTTATTTGAAGTTTCAAAATTTAGTTTTAATTTAATAGCTTCCTTTTTTTTTTAATTTATATATCTACTTTTACTAGGTCAGTTTTTATTACTTTTGAATTGAGACAAATTGTATTCTATTCAATTAAATTATAACAGTCTATTTTTATCTATGATAAAGAATTAATCTTCCTGATTGAATTAGATTTGATAAGCTATATTTAATATCCAAATTGATTCTTTAAATTATAATTAAAATAAATTTCGTTTTCATTATTTTAGTTTTTATTGATTTAACAAATTTCTTTTTTTTTTAGAAATCTAATATCCTAAATGCAATTTTAGTTTTATAAATAGGGATTATTAATTTTGTTTTGATTTTTTATTACTATATATATATAGTTTATATTAAATGTATTTATTAAGAATTACAAGATAATTAATTTGGATATTATTCAAATTTTACTTATCATCTACATTTTTTTCTTTTTGATACACTAGTTGAATTGTAACTTTATCATATAAAATGATGATTGGCTCTCTTATAAATCAATACAACTATAATGAATACAACTATTTAAATTATCTGTAAATATTTAGGCTTAAAAATTTCTTTTTTAATCGACAGAGGTGTTTTAATAAACCTTGTTTTTCTTAGTTTCGTGGTCTATATAAAATAATCTTTTTAGTTTAGAGAGGACAAGAACTTTTCTCTAAGATTTTTAATCTGAAGAATGCATAATTACGGTAAGTAATTGTTTTTAATCCTCCTCATCTTTAATTAAAGTTGCACAATATCAATATGGAAATTTCTTATCAAACAAAAACATCAAACTTTACAGACAATCTTTATAAAAGCCCTAATAAAATGCTCTTTATAAAATCATAGTTTTACTAATTTAAATTTAAGAATAATAATAATTTTAATATATATTCATCATAAAATCTAGTTTTCACAAGATTAGCATTCATTATAGAGCTGAAATATACCATGAGAGTGGAAGTGAAGGTTAAATTTTTAAGAGACCAAATTTTCTTTGTTTATAATTAATAATCATTTTGAAACAATTTGTGAGGATGCAGAAGTCGGTCATGATTTAAAAGAATGCGATGGTGATGGTTTATATAGTATGAGGAAGTTATCAATTTTAATTCTAATGTTCAAATAGCTGCGCATTTTGCTAGAAAAGTATTTATTATGAATGCGACACATTTTGTTTTCATTATTATTTTAAATAATTACAAACTATTTTTAGAGATTGAGATGGAATAATCACAAGTAAAGAAATAAATTTATGATCAAAAATACATTTTATTTGAATATGATATTTTTAATAAATGATTATCTTATATTAATTGTTTTGAATAATACTCATAAAATTAATTAAATTAACATAAAAGATTATTACATAAATTGAATATTTACTCAAATAATAGAAATTTAAAAGTAAATTTCAATAATTTATGTATTTTCATAAATCTTCTTAAGTAATAAAAAATTAGGAATTTAATTATAATTAATCAAACATTATTTTACTTTTCTGGTAGTATGAGACAAATCAGTTGGCAAAACAATTCTTATTCCATATGCTCATCATATCTTACGAAGTTTATAATCACAAAAAAACACTCAACTGCAATAGTTTGTCAAAAAAATGTGTTCAGTTATAAATTGTAGATGTCTATAGTATTGCTAATGAAGGATGAGTTGTAAGAACACTTAGAGGAAATAAATGTGATTAAAAAAATTATTAAGCTGTCATTTTTGAAGAAGGCAATTTGTTAGGAAGTGAAAAATCTAAGGAAATTAGCTATAATTGATTATACCATTTTTTCAAAT